GGCGGGGAGAGAAAGGGAGGGAAAGAGGGGGAGAGATCTAGTCTCCTCTTATTTTAAGGGCAATGATCCCATTCATGACGGCTCCACTGACCTGACTTAACACCCCCCAAAGGCCTCGCTTCCCAGTACTGTCACAATGGGGATTAGAGTTTCAGCATGTGAATTTTGAGGGGGACTATTTCAGTCCATAGCAGATAGTAATACTCAGAAATAACAACAATGACAACTAACATTTCTCGAGCACTTACGATGTGCCAAGCATTGTGTAAAACACTTTCTACCCTTTACCCTACTTAAGCCCCACCAAAGCCTTGTGAGGGGGATACTGTTGGCTGCAAATAAGGAGACTGATTCCAGAAGAATGAAGGCATTTTCCCAGGGCCACACAGCGGTGGATCAGGGATTCAAGACGCAGTGAAGGGTGGGAGGGGACTCAGAGCCTGTGCTGCTTCCTCCAGGTGGAGGGAGGACGCCCCCAGGATGCAGCACAGGGTGGGCTGGAGCCCCTCAGTTAACAGACGGTGGGGAAGCGCCCACTACGTGCCAGGCAGTGGGGAGTGAGAGCAGAGCACTATGTCCCAGTGGGGAAAACAGATGTAGGATAAGTAAGCAAGTGAACGAGGCTGTTTCGGTACAAATATTACGGGAAAACAAAATAAGACAATGTGATAGACAGAGGGTGACTCAGGACGTGGTGGTCAGGAGCGGGCAGGAAGCCAGATGCGTGCATGACACTAAGTGGTGGGGAGGAGCCAGCTCTGTGGGGACGGAGAGAAGAGCGTCCAAGGCCAAGGGAGCAGCCAGTGCCAAGGCCTCGGGCGGGAGACTGTTGGTGTCTGAGTGGCACTGAGGAGGCCAGTGCGGCTGCAGTGGGGTGAGCAAGGGGGAGAGTGAGGGGGGAGGAGGGCAGAGGGCTGCTCTGGAGGAGACGGGGCTGGAGGGTCACAGAAGCTTCTGGAATCAGCGGCATGGGAAGGCCTGAAAGGATGGGGTGGTTGAATCGGGGTGAGGGACCAATGGGGTGAGGGATGCAGCAGCCACACTCTGCACCCCATCTTTTCTCTCCGCTGCTTCTCTCTACTCAGGGATCTACAGGCCTTCCTGGTCCCCTGGGACCCTTAGGAGAGAAAGGGAAGCGGGTGAGTGGTGAT